TTGGCCTATCAGTAGCATACACGTGTCCTTTAATGAGATCTTTTCAGTAAGAGATCCTTATTTCCCCATAGCTTTCTAACTTCCTGCTGTAGTCTTAATGACTCTTGACACTATTTCAGAATGGGTTATTCCACAGAGTTTATAAACTTTAACAACAATGACAACAAAAAATTCCCAGATAAAGGGCTGAGGTTTTGGCTCAGTAGGAGAGTGCTTGTCTTGCATGTGTAAGGCACTGGGTTCGATTCTCAGCAACACATAAAAAATAAATAAAGGTATTATGTCCATCTATAACTAATAAAAATACTTTTTAAAAAATAATTTTAAATTTATTTTTTAGTTTTAGGTGGACACAATATCTTTATTTTATTTTTATGCCGTGCTGAGGATTGAACCCAGTGCCCCATGCATGCTAGGTGAGCACTCTACCTCTGAGCCATAACCCCAACCCCTAATAAAAAATATTTTTTAAAAATTCACAGATAAAGCACTCTTTGTTTTTATAGGAAGTGATCGTTGTTTATAAACTAATTGTTTGGCACCTTGAGTTTTCTGGAGAGAAGTGCCTTCAAAATAAAAATAAACTGTAGGTGGGATTTAAATTCTGGGGTCTCCACTAGTAACAGTCACGAGTAATGCATTTCATTTCATGCAGTGCTTCATGGTTTTCAAAGTGTCATTTCAATACATATAATTGCCTTGTGAGATGAAAGGCAATTTTCACTCCATTTTACAAAATGGAAACGGAGACTCAGGGATCTGGATGTGATTTGTGGGGGAGTCAGTAAGCTTCAGAGCTTGGCTGAGATCCAGTTACCTGGGCTCTTGCTCTTTCCAATACCCCAGGATCCCACTGGTTTGGGCATGGCCTTGGGGTTAAGAACCAAAACCCACTTCTCTCAGACCTTAGGACTTGTCATGGAACAGTCTTTGTGGCAAAGCTCAGGCTTCAGGGTTCAGCTATTGTCWTAAGCAAGTCATTAATCTCTCTGGGACTCAATTTCCTCATCTACAAAATGGAGATGGTAAAACTGAAGTAATACAGGGAAAGGGCCATAGTAGGTGCTTGACAAGTGCCACCTAGTCCCTTTACCTGCTTGACCTTTCGTACCTATCCTTCAGGGTTGGTTGTCCTTGTCCTAACTCTTGTGACATATAGAATAGGGAATGGTCTTGCTATGATCCCTCTTTAGTGCTTCAGTTCATGCCATTGATTGAGCGGCAGCTAAGGCTCCTTAAACAAATTTCTCCAAATGTAGACCTATTGAAAAAAAAAAAAAGACTTCTGTACTCATAACCTTCCTTTCTGGTTATATCTATCAATGTTATGTGCATTTGGTTCTGGACATGCAGGAAACAGAAGGCAGCTCCTTATACAGATGGGGAAATCGAAGCATAGAGAAAGTCATTTCCTGCCTAGGCTCCCCTGAAACATCCTTGACAAAGTTCAGAGTAGAATTAGTCATTCTTCAACTGTTTTTTTTTTTTTTTTCCCCAGATTGACTTTATCTAGTTCTTGCTTCTCTTGTGCATTTCCCATGGGAGGCAGTTGAGCAAAAACTCTAGCTCTCTGTTTTGAACTTCAGCCCACAGCCCTCCAGCAAAATAATTGGCATTCATGTAGCTTAAACCAAGGAAAGTGAGGTCTTTGTTCAAACCATCCCACTGTACTGGGAATCCAGATAGCACAGAAACCCAGCAAGCAGGCTTTTAAGTTAATAGATTTTGTTTAATGACACGAGGAGTCTGCATGTGCAGGTTGTTTGGTCTCCTGTCCCAGGGATCTGCATGACTCAATGTGCCTGAGGGCATGCCAGGGGCATGTGTTTTTCACAGTTGCTTTGTTCAGGGACACAGGCTCTTCTCTGGGATGGGAACATTTCTTGGTTGAGACTTACCAGTACAGTACACCCAGTTTGAGGACTTGAGGACAAATCAGTGTCTTCCCAGGCTTTTAAGTGGGGAACACCTGTGTAAGATGAAATTGGCTGGAACAAATGTACCGGCATTCCCATATCCAAGTGAGAGATATCCCTTGGAGTGTTATCTGAATGTGTCACACAAGGATGTTCCCATTGCTAAGCTTTTGAGGTGAACCACTAGTAGTAGTTTCTATCAGAGCCAGTTTTTCAGCCGAGTAAAAAAATTATTTGGAAACTTTTTTCATATTCCTATTTAATGCCAAGTGGTATCCCCAAGCATGACCACCATTGTTTTTTCTACTTTATAATTCTGGATAACTTGTAGTTATTTCTAAAGACTTATMGCCCTTGAAGGATCTGAAAGACCATGATCCATGTTGAGGAGATTCAGAGGAATATCCGCTGAAGACGATCTTATTACTTGGACAGGGTGGGTAGCTGTGTTGTCCCTTGATCTTTCAAAGAACCAGGTCTTGGCTAAGTCTGTGGCTTGAGTTGGGAGCTGTCCCTGCCTGTGAGAGGCCCTGGGGAGGACATGCTCTGTGTTCATATAGACAACTCAGTCTCTTCCCTGGGGCAATTGAATTTGGACTTTCATCATGTCTTCTCATAAGCTTCCTTTGGGTGTGGCTGAGCAGCACAGTGCATGAGAACTAGAATTGTCATTGTATGTTCCTTTCTTTTCCTTCCCCTATCTACTGCTGTCATTCACTGATGTCCAGAGTTATAGCCACAGTCAGTCCTTCTATAGCCAAAATCTGTTCATAGATGGCTGTCATACCCTCTTTCCTGGCTTACCCAAGGCTGCCATCTTTCTTCCATTAGGGAGGGGCTGGGGAGTGCTGGGGGTTAGAACATGTGGGGAGGCAGTTAGAACTCAAAATTGTAAGGTACAGAAATGGCAACAGTATCCATTTGTTCTGGATTTCCAGGATCAATCACAAATCTTTGTCCTACAGAGAAGATATTGGGTGTCTCATTTTCCATTGATGGAAAATGAGGTAGTCATTTAAAATCATGTTGATGATTTTACAGTGGTTTAAAAAATTAAGATGTAAGTTCACGATCACAATTATGTAAAAACCAAAAAGTGCCTACCCCCTAAAACCCAAAACAGGCATAAAAAAAAAAAGAGTGGATATAAATATATCAAGCATTTGGATATCAGGACTCTGGGTGATTTTGTTTAMTCTGCTTTTAGCTTTTTCTTATATTTCTCAAATATTCCATATATAATAAGACTCTATTAATAGCTTAAGTGAGAGCAAATTAAATTTGATAAAATCCCAGACAAATCTTTTCTGTCATTGGACTGTATGTCCTGAATTTTGACTAGAGATTCAGTCATCTGCCTTAACCTGAGAGCTCTTCTTCCTTATTTCCCCCTCTGGAAATCTAAAGTTAGGTAAAACCAGCTGAAAACCATGTTTCAGACATAGTTCTGCCTGGAAGCAGGGGATGAAAAAGGCAGCCTCTCAGAGTCCCTTCCCACCCCCAAATGGTGATTATCTCTCACTGCACACAGTGTCTGCCAACAGGGGAGCGGCTGAGCATGGTGACATTCTCCTTCTGAGTGGGGAGCAATAACAAAAGTCTGGCTGGGATGGAGGCCGGGGGCGGGGAATCTGAAGTAAGTGCCTGAGCTGATAAGGAGCCAGTGATCTTTCTGCTGGTGGGATGTGCACCTCCAACTGCCAAGCATCCCACAGGGCCTGGCCCCTTGGAAAGCTTGCTACAGTGGTCCTGCTGCTGGAACTGCTCTGGGGGCACAGTAGTCTCGGAGACTTGTGTGGAGAATTTCCCTCCTGGTACAGAGGGTTGGGGCTCTGGCTCAGAGCATGTGAAAGTTCACTTCTCCTTTGAGCAGCACTGTTCTTTGAAGAGAGCATCGAATCTCTACAGTGGAAACTGGAATTTCTCCATCACACCTCTCGAAAAGTGAGCCTCTTGAAGGACATCTCAAGTGCTTTTTATTTGGCTGTGACTGGCTGGATTCTCCAGCTCCATCACTTCAGGGTCCTGGTACAGTCCTCCAAAGCAGATTTTTTTCTATTCTTCAGGCAGCGAGTCTCAATTTATTATAGTCTGACTGGCATCAAACTGCCTGGATCCTGTTGCCTGTCAGAACAGTGGACAAAACCCAGCCACCAAACACTGAGACTTCTTCTTAAAGGGAAGCTTACTGGTCCTGGAGTTGGCAAGGTCTTGGAATCTGGTATTGAACTGTTCAAGAGAGGTATTGAATTTGTGTGGAGGTATTTGTCACCACTGCTTTGAAAGACTGGCAGATGCAGGGGCTTTGTGGAGGCAGGTGAGGAGAATGCTCTCAAGTGTCTCTTTAGTGTCGAGCCAGTGTGCTGGCCCTCCCAGGGCAACTTCTCAGTGGAATGTACTGCATCTCTGGGATGCTGATAGGGAAGCACCAGGGATCCTCATTGGGGTGCACGGAAGGCTTCATCTCTTCTGCCTCTCCAGGCATAGTACAAGGGGTTAATATCTTTTATGGCTCTATTTTGGGGMAAATGGAGTGTTCCCAGAATAGTACTCTTTGTTGAGTAGTCTATTTTGGGAGGCAAGCCCCATCGGCATTTATGTAAGCATTCTCTGTGTATATGGGGGTGTGCATGTGTGCGCAAGTGATTTCTTGTTACTAATTATAAACAGTTTCTTTTGGGAGTCAGGGAAATAGAGGTGTGTGTGTTTGTGTGTGTGTGTAAGGGTATGAATTGCTCTTGCCTCCTGTGAAGAATAGTGTGTGCCCATCTGATGGGGCAGTTGTCACAGACACCCGAGTAGGACAGCAAGTATGAGGACCTTAGGACAACAGGCAGGGATGACAGTCTGGGCGCCTTTGTGACTGTCTGGCTGTGGAAATGTGCCCATCTGTCTTTCTCTTGGTTCCCTGAAGCACTAGGGCAGGCCCTTCGGCTGTAGTCTGGAGTCAGGTAGTCTCTAAAAAATCTGGCCTGAATCGTTCTAAGGCCAAGCAACCAATTCCAACATGGAACAAATCTCTGCTACCACTTCCCACTCCTCAGCTTGGCACTAACACATTGGATTCCCCATGTCTCCCCACAGGCCAAACCCACATATGTCAAAGCAAGAGAGAAACCAAAGACCATCCAGCATGGTCAGTGAAACATCCACAGCTGGTACGACATCTACCCTGGAGGCCAAGCCTGGACCCAAGGTGAGTTCCTGGCCACTGGTTCCATCTCTCCCTTTTGTATTTTGCCAAGGTCCCTTATAATCAGAGGCCCATTCGATCGTCACCATAGTTTTGTGAGGGAGATCCCTAAGAAGTATCCTCCCTAAGTGATAGGTCAGGATATTTTTTTTTTWAATATTTTTTTAGTTGTCAATGGACCTTTGTTTTATTTATTTATATGTGGTGCTTAGAATCGAACCCAGTGCCTCACACATGCTAGGCGAATGCTAACACTGAGCCACAATCCCAGCCCAGGATATTGAGGTCAGGAGGCATTATGTCCCTTGTCCAAGAAAATGGGTGATTGCTGAAAGACCAGGACTGATATCTGGGTCCTTGAACACATTCTCTACTTTCCTGGCATGTGTTGAGAAGGCCACACTGTTGTTCCTATGGGCTGTGTGTTAAAGCCTGATGAGATTCTGTGACAGATGGACCTGAGGAAGGGTGTCCTTGGAAAGAGCACCAAAGTTCCTGTGCTCAGTGTGTGGGAACACTGACTAAAGATCAGGGAGAAGAGTCAGCATTGCAGAATGGGGGAGAGTATTGAAGGGCAAACCCAGACAGGAGGGTAAAGATCAGGACATAGGCAAGACATCTATGACCAAAAAATAGCTTTACACCAGAGAGCCATAGACATATTAGAGACAACAGCTGCTGGTGAGTTGGTTGAAAAATCCCTTTAAATTTTTTCTTTGTGACCCAGCTGGGAGGCTTGCCAGGTCTTGAGCTTGCTTTTTAATTAGAATGCTATGGCCATGTGCATGCCTATTCTCTGTCTCGTTGCTGTTTTGATCAAAGGGTGCTGCCACTTAGAGTAAAGCAGCGAGAGCCAACAGCCTTCCTACCACAAGTGCTTTCTTGCGCCTCCCTAAATTCCCTGCTGCTAGAGTTTAACTCTGCTTTTTCCTAGATCATTAAGTCCAGCAATAAAGTCCACAGTTTTGGGAAGAGGGAACAGGCCATTCGGAGAAACCCCAATGTTCCAGTGGTGGTGAGGGGCTGGCTGCACAAGCAGGTGAGGAGGCTGAGGAGTGGGAGGTAGAGGGATGGCCCTTGCTGCATTCCTTCTTTTTTCCTGGCCCCAGGACACAGGAAGAGGCACAAAAGTTTTTGCTCCCAAGTTTGTGTGGGGACAGGTGCATTCTGCCCACCATGCTGAGTGATTTGCTGTTCATTTTTATGAGTGGACTGGCTGCTGAAGGGTTACAGCTTCTCTCCCAAAACCCACTCAACCTCTGACCACTGGTACTGTCGGCTGACCTGGGACCCAGGCCATAGTGTGAATGGGTCAGCCTGAATTCAGCCTTACCACCAATCTCTACTAGAACCTGCCTTCCTGATGTTAAAGTCTTTATTATCATTTGACTGAAAAAGTCCCATCTTTTCCTCTCTCTTTTCTAGCACACATATCTTTAGCACCCCAAATTCCAAATCAGCCACTCAGCTCATTGTTTCCACACCCCTTACTTCTCTTTCCCCTAGCCTGTTTTTTCTGGATCTTAATAATGTGGGTACTATACCTACTTTCCTGGGCACACAGGTTAGAGACCTCAGAACCATCACCTGCTCCTCCTTCTCCCACTTCCATTCAGTGGGGAAGTGATATCTCTGTCTCCCCCAGGCCATGCTTCATCTCCAACCCCAAGTTTATCCACTTCTAGTCCTATGGCCATGCTGGGCTATGAGCTCCCAGGATGGTGTCTCTTTTGTCCCCTTTCTTCTCTCCTTGCCATTCATTCATTTGCTTCCCAAGTGTTTGACATGTTCTGAATGCTCTCACAGAGCCTATAAAGAGATAAGTGGCATGTGGTTCCTGTCTTCAAGGAGCTCACCATCTGCCAAGGGAAACAGCACATCTCTTGTGTCACATTGTTATCCATCTTGTCATAGCATCCTATTTACCTATGCTGTGCTACCTGTCAGCATCCCCAAAAGCCACCAATCAAATTCTAAGAGCAATGATATCCATTTTAGAAAATCCTTTGTGGGAAGTCAGAGAAGGACATTATGTTGCACACTACATGGGAACATTCCCAAAAAGTTCATTTGATGTGTGTTTCCCCAGTTCTGTTTCTTGGTACAGCTTTCACAGTGCTCAGTCTCTTCTGTSAGGTCTGCCTCTGGCCCCAAACTATTGCTCCCACCCCCCACCCCTCACAGCTTCTGTTCTCCTCTCTTTTAGCTACATCTCTTTTCTATTTGAGTAATTTAATCTCTGATTTTTTTCCATGTGTATGACTGTCCTTGTTGAATAAAGGATGCTCCTTGGAAACATGGAAGGAGAGGAAAGGGATCATAAATAATTCTTCTCCCCTCTTTCCATGCCCTTGCTGACCCAGTGACTGTGCTGTACCCATAACAGGTCTGTGTAGAACACTCTGGACACAGCAGAGTGTAGCTGTGCCTGGGGAGTTCTGAAAGGCTTCCCAAGATAAGTGATGTTGGCACTAGGTATGGCAGGATGGGTAATCCCATTAAAAAGGAAGCAGGTATTGTGTGCCAAGACCTCAGAAATAATCTGGTCAATTTGGAGGAGGTAAAATTGATAAATGGATGACATCATCAAGTTAAATTTGGTTTTAGCAGTTTGATAGAAGCATGAACAAACCTCATGTTTAGGTTTAGAAATTGTCAGGTTTTATTTTGTTTTGTTTTAATTCAAGCCTGTCAAACAACTTCTGCATAAGGAAGATGAATTTTAACAACTTTAGCTAAAAACAGCTCTGAGATTTTCTTAGGTTTTGAAGAGAACTGACCCTAGAAACATTGCTAATTTCCTCCCTTGGCCATATTTTTTGAATTTTCATAGTTATTTAAAATGTTCTCTTTTTTTCATAGTTGTAGTTGAACACATTACCTTTWTTTTTATTTTTAAAATGTTCTTTTTTTAATTGGTGCATTATAATTATACATAAGTGGGATTTATTATGCTATATTTGTACATACACATAATTTGATCAATTTCATTCCCCACTAAAATGTTCTTTTTT